GAGATAGAGATAGAGATAGAGATAGAGATAGAGATAGAGATAGAGATGATAGAGAGATAGAGAGATAGAGATAGAGATAGAGATAGAGATAGAGATAGGGATGGATGGATGGATAGATAGATAGATAGATAGATAGATAGATAGATAGATACATACATACATACATACATACATACATACATACATACATACCGTGTTTCTCATATAATAAGGCCGGGTCTTTTTTTTTTTGAGCCCCGAAAAAACGGCTAGGCCGTCTTTTTGGGGGTGACTTAATTCCCCCCCCTTGCATCTTCAGGCAGGCAGGCGGCGACGGCTTGGATGTTGACCTCGGCGTTGGTGGGGCACTTTGTATCAGGGTCAACGCAGGCAGCACCATATCCGGGTGTGCAACAAAAGTACTTCCTAACAGCAAGCCCCCCTGCCATTTCCCCCCCATTTTGCATGTTTTAATATAGGCCTTAATTTGGGGGGAGGGGCTTAATTTCATTTCATGCCTATAAAACATGCTGGGACTTCCTATTGGGGGAGGCCATATTGTTGGAGAAACGGTACATTCATTCATACATACATACATACATACATACATACATTTGTTTTCGTAGATTTTCACGGGTACAGGTATGCAGGTCAACTTTTGTCTGTCAACTTTTAAGACTTGTGGACTTCAACTCCCAGAATTCCCCATGCTGCCTGGGGAATTCTGGGAGTCCACAAGTCTTAAAAGTTGCCAAGTTGAAGATGTCTGTTCTAAGGAGATTGGACTCCTGAAACATTTTATTTCTTTCAAAGTATTTTTTTTAAAATCTTCCCACACGCCTTCCAGCTTTAAGCTACGCCAGTATATCTGTAATATTGGCAGCTTCGAGGCATAAATTCCCCAATTAAAGCTGAGAAACAAACAATAGTTACTAATAATATGATCGTTTACTTTTTTTTCTTCCTTCAGTTACATTTGCAAAGTAAGCCATATGCCCCTGGTAATAAATTTAGCTCTTCAAGGTGGGGAGGATTTTTATTTAATACTTTAAAAAAAATCATATATTTTGTCAAGTTAAAATCCTTGCGTATGGACCATATTTTTATTTATTTTATTTAAAGCTTTTTTTAGAGGTCTCCCCTCCATCATGTAGCCAATTCCAGGTGGTTCTAAAAGAAATCAAAGGTAAAAATAGTATAAAAACCGTTTTTTATAAAAACTACAAAACTAAACACATTACAAACAACAAAACACCTGGCGACATTCTCTTCCCAATTTTTTTCTTTAGTAACGGCGAGGTTCAATCAAGACAGAACGTTTTCCCAAAGTATTCCAAGGAAACTGTAATAATATTAAACTTGGGTTTTCTAGTTCCTGGTCCAACATCATAGCTTCACAAACATTATAATTATTTACCAGCAGCTATCAAATATTGCAAAAAACCCACCCATCCCCGCTGCCCCTTACCTGCATTGCACCTCACAGCTGATTTTCGGCCAGTTTGAGGCCTTTTTCAGCCTCCCAGAGGCTTGAGGAAGGCTTCTGCAGGCTTTGCAGGCTGAAAACTAGGCCCGTTTCATCACTTCCGGTATTTTTGGAAAAACAGGAAGTGACAAAATGGGCTAGTTTTCGGCCTGCAAAGCCTTCCTTAAGCCTTTGGGAGGTCGAAAAAGGCCTCAAACTGGCTGAAAATCAGCTGGGAGGCGCACGCATCTGCAGTGAGGTAAGCTTACCTGCAGCTCACGTGCCGGCACAAATAGCACGTGTGCCATAGGTTCGCCATCATGGGTATAAAGCCTAAATGTATACATGTACGTGTATATATATGTGTGTGTGTGTGTGTGTGTGTGTATGTGTGTGTATGTATATGTGTATGTATGTATGTATGTATGTATGTATATAAATGCTTATAGTTTCTTTTGATCTTTTCTAATGTAAAATGTAAAGACTGAAATGTATGTTAAAGTCCACCACGTTCGATATTTTTAAAGTTTGTTCTCAATAAAAATAAAAAATCTAAAACCAGTAATAGTATGCTGCCGGTTTGCACCGGTTCTAGCGATCCGGTAGCGCCGGTCAGCAGTTGGCCCCGCACCCCTGCCCCACCCTTTCCTGTCCTATATTTCCTTTGTTTGTAGCTCAGGTGATAGGTGCGGCAGAGCAGGTTGCCGTGCCTCAGCTGTTTTACTCACCAGCGCTGATGGTAAAGGTAAGTGTTCGTGCTTAAAATTCCACCATTTTAGAACGGTCCTCCCGCGCCCGCAGAACTGGTTGTAAAACTATTTCAAGTTCCACCACGGTCTGAAACGTCATTCCTGATCTCTTCACAGTGCTTCGCCGTTCGTTCCTTGGGATGGGTCGAGATGGGGGAGGAAGATTTGGCTCCCGGAAAAAGCAGCATTGCGGTAAACAATTGCATACGGCAACTCTCATACTGCAAAAACGACATAAGAGATACCGTTGGCATTTGGGGAGAGGTAAGAAATGTTTTATCGTTTTATCTGTAAGCCTTCCTTCGGTCTGTTTGGCCATGTGGTTTTCCGGCTTCTTTGAAGGCCAGGCCAGCCTTCTCTGTGAAATGATCTCTTTTTTTTTTTTTTTTTTTGGGGGGGGGGGGGGGGGGGACGGATACAAAAGTTTTTGTATTTTTTAATTATTTAAATACATCTTTGAGAGACCAGTGTGGTTCCAGGTGTTTTACATTTTAAATCAGTCATATCCATAGTCACAAACACAGCTTTCTAACATCACATCATTATCTATTACCAAGTTTTCTTCTTTACCTTGATCATATATTCTTATGTTCAACATGTTTACAGTTTAATCTATTCATACCATTTCATTGATCATTCAAAATTTCACCTTAATTTATATTATCTCCTGTTAAATCCACTTTCCAATATTACATTTATCATTTTTTCACAAATATATTTTCCATCTTATCTATTACCAAATTTTCTTTATATTCTCATAAATTACTTTATATCAGTCTCTTTATTTTTAATCAATCTCTATTTTCCTTGATCATATATTCTTATGTTCGACATATTTGCAGCTTAATCTACTCATACCATGTTATTGACCATTCAAAATTTCACCTTAATTTATATTATCTCCTGTTAAATCCCCTTTCCAATATTACATTTATCATTTGTACACAAATATATTTTCCATCTTATCTGTTACCAAATTTTCTTCTTTATATTCTCATAAATTACTTTATATCAGTCTCTATTTATTTTTTATAAAGCTTTATTGATACTATTTGTATTTTGGATGGAAATACGGAAGGCTGCCCTGAAAGGAACTTCTTCTCTAGCTTTTGTCATCAGTGAAGGTGATGGGAACTTCACCAGAGGCCGTCACAGTCCTAGGAAAGCTTCAGTGGGAATGTTTCCTTCAGCTTCCAAATGGGTCACCTTCAACTCCCAGAATTCCCCAGCTACTGTGGCTATGGCTGGGAATTCTGGGATCTGAACTCCACATAAATTTGTGGTCTTTTTATTTAGATCAGGATCTAAAGACCATAGCAATTTGTGGACTTCGAGTGTCAGAATTCCCCGTCCATCTAGGTGTAGCATCATCAGTACTAGATGCTGCTCTCTCCATACCTGCAGCAAACCCTACTCCCTTCTAGCACTGATAATGTTCCCTAGTTGAGTCATGAAACGTATGCAAGAAAACCACCAAGCTTGTGGAGCATCAAGAACCCATGCAGTGGTGGTATTCAAATAAAGTTGCCACCGGTTCGGTGGGCGTGGCTTGGTGGCCGTGCTTTGCACGCATGCACACATGCGCCAAACATGCACTTTGCGCAGGCGCAGAGGCGTTCTAATTCGCCTCCTGCAAGCCTGCACGATGGTGGTCGCTGCAGCAGCTGCCGCGTGACGCTATTCTGCACCGCGCAAAGCAGCTGCGCTTTGAATTCTGGCCATAAAAGTGAGTATGGGAGCCTGGGCGGGCGGGTGGGTCAACCACAGAGCAGCGAAGAGAACCGGTTCGGTCTCCACTGCTCATCGCCGCTAGCGGCTCTCCAGAACCAAGCAGAACCGGTCGAATACCACCACTGAACCCATGGTTAAATTTTTCTTATGCCCGCCTTCTTTTTTCTGAAATAAGTGTTGCAAGGTGAAAAAGATTTGTGCTGAGTATGTTTTTTTAATTCTTTCCTCCCTCTCTCTCTCTCTCTCTCTCTCTCTCTCTCTCTCTGTCTCTCTGTCTCTCTGTCTCTCTGTCTCTCTCTCCCCCCTCTTCTTTTCTTTTTTTACTTAGGGAAAAGATATGTATCTTATCCTGGAGAACGATATGCTAAATTTGGTTGACCCCATGGACCGTAGTATTCTTCATTCTCAGCCCATCGTTAGCATCCGAGTTTGGGGAGTTGGTCGAGATAATGGCCGGTAAGTTTTGCAATATGTTTTGTCTTTCTTTATGAGATGGACATTTGTTAAGGCGCGTATTTCAGATAGATGTAGCTGCCGACAACCTATTGAATGTGTCTTTTGTGTTCTTGTTGCATCCATTGGTATTCATCTGGCTAGCGTCCTGTCAGTGTGTGAGAGAGTTAAGGGCTGTTTGGAAACTGAAGCGGTATTTGCTGTGTGAGCAAGAAGGAGACAGCAAGGAGCCTGGGCATGGCTTAGAAGAGATTTCTTTTCAGGTGGGGAGGGGGAGTAGAACTCCTTAGCATCAGAGCATGTTAATAATAATAATAATGTAGGAAATATTAATACTCTGATGGTCATTTCAAACAATCCTTTCTTAGTGAGCCCCTAGAAGCCAAGAGGAACATGATACGTGCCAAATTTCAAGTTTGTAGGTTTTACGGATCTGGAGATTTTGTGATGATGCGCGAGTGGTATTTCACTTTTATATGTATAGAATATTGTTGTGTTGTCCTAAGAATAGGCTGTAAGCTGCCAGTGTCTTCAAATGTCCCTGAAAGGCAGATTTAACACGCATTAAGTAAACAAACAAGACATCATTCTACATTATGTCAAAACTCCAGAAAACTTGTAGGGAATCTTAACTGTGATTTATTTTTTAAAAAATTATTTTTAAAATCGAAAAAAAATATTATTAAAAATTGAGACTTGGTGGAAGAAACGCAGAAGTTGACACCTGAAAACCCTCTTGTAGTTTGAAAGGTTAAAAAAGAAAGCAATTTTTTTTTTTTTGCCTAGAATTCATTAGAACGGCAACAGTTCTGATGTCTTCACTTCAGAGGAGCCCACAAAGCAAATAACTTTAAAAAAAAAATGCTTTTATACGAGCGCTGGGTTTGAATTTAATTAATTAGGGTTTTGGTTGACTTCATTGTCCTAGTTAAGCTCACAACTGCAAAGAGATCTAGCCAATCTGAAGTATATCTTCTATGATTTGAAGAACAGACATTAAGCAAAGGATCCTCTCTTTTTTCATGCTTTTTGGACTTTTAAACAATATCGTGAAAGTGTTGGTCATATGGCAAAGCGTAATAGGAATGAAGGAACTCAGACAGTACAAATTTGTTCGACAAATCTTACAGTTGGATTGGGGAATTATAGAATGGTTTGCATGTCATTTTGGAAATCTTTGTTGCTGTTGTTTAAAAGCAGTGGTCTCTCCTTATTTGAGGAATATATCATTGTTTGAAGAATTATAGCTACATCACACGACCAAGGATTGCAAAAAAAGAAGAGAAGGAGAGATAAGTCAACATTAGAAAGTCAGACTTCATCCCAAAATTAACATAAGTGCTTACTTTCCATTTGTAACATGGCATGCACTGCTAAATAGTGTTTTATGTGGCCAAGGTTTAATAACTTATTCTAACATTCAGCAGCTTGGTATATATTTTTCATTTTTGCATCCGTTTCTTTCGTATTCCTTTTGTGCATAAAGATTAAAAAAAGAAATTATATATTCTTCTTAGAAGACAGGGTTACATCTGAATGGAAAATGAAGCCATTGAGAGTAAAGTTACCTTGGTCTGGGAAGCAGAAAGATTGCTGAGGGGGATGAAACCGTGTGCACAGGAGGCAGTGGTGGGATTCAACCGGGGTAACAACCGGTTCGGTGAGCGCGCGCTTTGCGGTGCGTTAAAAAAACAGCTCTAAAACTTACTTTCAGCCCCAGTAAGTAAAACAGCTGATTCGCCACAATCTGCTCTGCCTTGCCTATCAGCTTGGCTTCAAACCAAGGAAATATAGGACAGAAAAACAGGCCTTCCAGAAATACCGGAAGTGCCGAAACGGGCCCGTTTTTCGGCCTCCAAAGGCTGCAGAGGCTTCCCTCAAGCCTTCGGGAGGGCGAAAATGGCCTCAAACAGGCCGAAAATCAGCCGGGAGGCGCGCGCATGTGCAGTTCAGGTAAGGGAGCGGGGGGTGTTGCACGTGCATGCTTGGGGGGGCAGGGCGCATTGTATTATGGGTGCTGGCATGCGCACTTTCAGCACACCACAGCAAAAAGATTCGCTATCACTGCACTAGGGTGAAGATTTTAGTCTACCAGTAAACGAATATATTGGCAAAGTGAGGTCTGCTGGCAGTCATTTTCTGCCTTACTGATTTCCACTCCTCATCCCATGTTCCTCTGCTCTGTCTTGTGATTCTGTCCTGCTTTGTTGGATCTCGTAAGTGCCAGAGACCGTCCCCCCAGGGATCAAAGGAAGCTTTGTTACCACAACAGCGTCATTCACAACACTATATGGTTGATCACACTGAATTTTTGACATTCCCCATTGTTCTTCTTCTCTGGCATTTTCAAGATTTGTTTTTTTCTAAGTTACATCTTGGCTACTTGTTGAAGCTGTCCAGCTGCTCGCTCGCGTTTTTTTAGCTGCCATGGAATCCTTCCCTCTGTGTCGTAATCGAACAGAACAGAATAACAGAGTCGGAAGGGACCTTGTAGGTCATCTGGTCTAACCCCCCATCCCACTCAAGCAGGAGACCCTACTCCATTTCTGACAGTCTCTTCTCGAAAACCTCCAGTGATGAAGCTCCCACAACTCCTGAAGGCAACGTCTGTTCCATGGGTTGATTGTTTCTCACTGTCTGAAAATTTTTCCTTATTTCCAGGTTGAATCTCTCCTTGTTCAGTTTCCATCCATTATTCCTTGTCTGGCCTTCAGGTGCTTTAGAAAATAGCTTGACCCCTTCCTCCTCTCTGTGGCAACCCCTCAAATATTGGAAGACTGCTCTCCTGTCTCCCCTGGTCCTTCTCTTCACTCGACTAGCCAGGCCCAGTTCCTGCAACCCTTCGCCATATATTTTAGCCTCCAGTCCCCTCATCATTTTGGTTGCTCTACTGATTTATTTGGAGGGCTTTCTGTGTGTCAGTGAGAAAGCATTTTGAAATATGTTGCAAAGTCTTGATGTAGTTTGAAAATGCGCTGGGATTTTAAGCTGTTTGAGCTTCAGGTGTCTTTTGACGCTTCTGTGTTACGTTTAATGGTGTGAACAAGATTCCCTCAGTTCTTTTATCTTGTCATGAAAAGGCATCTGACAAAGGGTTTGATTGAAGCAAAATTCTACGTCCAACATGAGCCTTCAAAAGTCCTTTTTTCAATATATCAGAGCAACGAAGGTTCTTAAATCTTCCTCTTGCACCGCCAATCATTCAGTCAGAGAGAAGATTTAGTCTCACGAAAAGAGAGCAAAGGCGTTGGAATCTCTGGCTTTTAACAGATGGACGTATACATAGCTCAGATAGCTGGAGAGGAAGCAACTTGTGCACCAGATGTGTGTCTTTGGGTCTCCGCGTTTCTGCCTTTTCATCACCTTGGCATTACACGGCGGGAATCTGAGGGTAAAATGAACAGTGTGGCACAGGGTTAAATCTTTATTTCGCAAAAATGAAAAATAGGAATGGGAATAGGAGTCCTGACCTAGATTTCCCCAACAGCACAAAGCCGAGTCCGAGTCACAATAAACTCCTTTTATTTAATTTACAATGAATTTCCTCTCCAACAAAGTCCCGGCCAATAGTCTTTCAAGATAGTTCCCAGTTACAGACCTTTATCAGGCTTGGAGTGTTGCCAGGCCGATATCTTTCAGATGTCACAATACTTGCCAAAATGAACTAATTATCTCTTGCAAATCCCTATTCTCCTTTTGCTCCTCTTTTATCCCCTGTGGAAGGGGCCATTCACTGTCCACCTGTGGCTTTATTCCCAAGTTGGCCCTTGTTCCTCAGCTGTTCCCTTCTTCTAGCAGCTCTGTGCATATGCACATCAGGAACAGGCTCCAGCTGTTCTTTTGCCCCATTGATCTCCCACTCCGAAGGCAGCTGATCACTGTCGGATGGCCCTGGCCCCATCTCTGCCTCCAATGCAGAGCCTTCGTCCAAGCCTTCCCCAGACTCCAGGACTGGCCCATGTTCCTCCCCAACCTCCTCACTGTCCAACTCTGCTGCCAGCTCCGGTGTCTGCTGTCGGGCCACAACAGCCGTCCCCCCCCCCCTGTGCTCAATCTCCCCCCCCCCCCCCCCAAAAGGACAGCCGATGCGCCATTTAATTTCGCTGCTTGGCTGTTATAATTTCAGCCTGTTATCAGGTGTTTGGGTTTGTAAGGGATCGAAATTATCTGCTGCCTCCAGGTCCTGCCACCTCACTGTGCAGCCTTTTTTGTCTTTCTTATCGACAGTTGTTAACTCTGGGATGCTGGGTGACAGACGCTCGTCTGTCTGAATTCTTTTTTTCCTTTTACATTCATTTGACATCAGCTTCTGCAACCATTCATCTATGGTAGGAATCGAAGCGTCCTTCCATTGTTGTGCATACAATAGTCTTGCTGCTGTCAACCTACAAAGCAACAAAATTTCAAACTTTTTCTCCCAATTCTTTTTCCATGAGAACCAAAAGGAAAAGTTCTGGTTTCATTTTTATCTCTGTTTTCAAAATCTTCTCTATTAAAATATGAACCACACTCTTCCCCCCCCCCCATTTTTTTTTATTATCACAGATCTACCATAGATGGTAAAACGTCTCTTTTACACTTCCAACATTCATTGGACATACCTTTCTACATCTTAGATAACTTATCTGGTGTTAAATACCAATGCTACATCATCTTATGGAAATTTTCCTTTAGATTATACAGTCATTTAATGTAAATTTTAAACCCTTGGTCCACATATTTTCCACATTGTTCAAGCCTACCCATGATGGTGAACCTATGGCATACATGCCACAGGTGGCACACAGAGCCATTAGTGCTGGCCCGCGAGCTGCTGGCAAACTTACCTCACTAGGCATGCACGCGCCTCACAGCTGATTTTTCGGCTGGTTTAAGGCCTTTTTCGGCCTTCCAGAGGCTTGAGGAAGGCTTCTGCAGGCTTCTGCATGCTTTGCAGCCCAAAAACTAGGCCCACTTCATCACTTCTTGTTTTTCAAAAAATACCGGAAGTGACAAAATGGGCT